CTCCTGATAGAGCTGCCCTGGCAGGTACAAACCTGAACAAATTCCCTAGGGTTACATCTTCCATCCACCTGGAAACTCTGTCTACGAAGGCAGCAGGCCGTAGATAAGTAAACCATGAAGAATTCACTGCCTATTCCTTCGGGAACAAACAAGGCACAAGGTCGTGTGTGACACTAGCGTCTCCCTCAAATTCCAGTGACTTAACACAAAGTTTTGATGTTCACCCACACTCTGTTGTCCAGCTACTCAGCTGCAGACCAAGCTGTACTAGCAGACCCATCTTGACGTCTGCTTCCATAGCCTCTAGAGCAGCAGAGAGAAATGAGCAAGCCACGCGTGGGCACAGTCACCTGGACAGGGTGGCACAGGTCACTTCCACACACATCTCAAGTAACTGATGCGGCTGTTCCGAGCTCCTAACATGGAACCGAGTGTGATCCTCCCGTGTTTGTGGAATGAGGAGAGAGCAAGGCTGTGACCGTTCCTCACGACCCTGCCTGGTTCTTCTTTCCTGCTGTGCACAAAATCACATCCTACTTCTCAAGGGAAACTCCCTGCTGAACGACAAGAGCCGAGGTGCCTTATTCACAGAGATGTTTTGCAGTTCTTACTTTGCAAAGCAATTCCATCCAGTGTTTTATAGTATGAGTGGAACATGGGTCCTGCAAAGCCAGCCCGATTCAGAGCCCGTCTGTAGTTTATGGAAAATGTGAACTTGGGTGACTGCAAGGGCTCTGAGTCACACGTCAGCAGCCTCTCTTTTCCACGGAAACAGGAGACAGTCTGCAATTTCTCAACAACTGTGCAGCCCAGATCAGAGGTGAAGGCTCACTTCCAAGTCACTGCACTTGTCTGGGCCTGGTTCGGTTTTCTGGGATTCGAGGAAGACATAGCTGTGAATTTCCCAGCGACTCTTGAACTTCCACTAGCTGCTGGGAACTGGGCAGTGGTGGCACTGTGGCTTGCAGAAAGGTCACTTCAGGGTTTTCTGTTTTCAGTGCAAGCATAGCAAGTGTGCCTTAACAGACTGGAGGGCTTAGCTACCTGACACCACAGAGGGCGTGGCCTTGACACCAGAAGACCCTGCACAGGCTGGCACCCTCCTGGACGCGTCCATTCATTTTCCGTTTGTAAAGTGGCTTCCTGTTGCGCGTTGGCAGTTTTACCACTTGTCTGTTGGGGTGACCTCTCTGCTTTGGAATTCCTTACAAACACACTTCCTTGGTGATAAGGAAGGTCACGGCCGAGGACGAGGAACACCTCACTTTTACTTGTTTTTTAGGACGGTAGAGGCCATGCCTCCTGTACTATTCAGTGCTGAATCCCTACCGCATGGGACTCATCCTTGCACCCGGTACTCAATACATATCGTCGAATGAATGAGAACATGATGGGCTCGCCCATGTGCTAGCTTTCCTTCTTACTGTTGTGCTTCAGATGTGAAGTGTCCCCCACAGGTTCATGGGTTTGAACCCTTGGTTCCCCACAAGCTGGGAGCCCTGTCTTAGGAAGTCACAGAACTATTATGAGGTGGGACCTGGAGTACGGAAGTAGGTCATTAAGGCTGAGCCTCTGAGGGTTCTACCAGATTCTAGTCCTAGCCCACATTTTCTGCTTCTTCGTTAGGGGCCATCTGAACAAGCTGTCATTTATGCTACCACTGTAGACAGTTGCTTTGCCTTTCATGCTGTGGTGGACTGTGACCTTCTGAAGCCGTGAACCCCAAATCTTTCCTCCCTAACAGTTATGTCCGTGAGGGCAATGAGAATAGTAACTAGCATGCCTACTTTTGCCCGACGGCAAAAGCCTATAAAGCACTAGACAGAGATGAGAGAAACAAAGACCTCTGCCACGTTCGACTAAGTTGATGATTCTATAGTTTTATTTTCCAGTTAGTTTACTTGCTAAGTTGTTTATGTCCCCTACCCATCCCTACTCCACACCCATCTTTCCAGCGAATTTAGCTGTTGGCCGTTCTTGGAACGGACATACTCCTTGTTGTGAGTTGAACTGTAGCTCTTCAAAAAAGATAAGCTAAAATCCTAGGACTTCAGAATGCGACCTTACTGGGAAGTAGGGTCGCTGTAGATGTGAAAACAAAGTCATTCTGGATTAGAGCGGGCCCTAAGGTGAGTTTAGTTTGTGAAGAGCGACGGTACAAATAGATTATGTGATGATCCATTGCAGTTGGAGTTGCAAGATAGGGAATGCTCAAGACTGCTAGGAACTCACCAGGAGCTAGAAGAAGCAACAACGGGTTCCTCCCTACTGGTGCTAAGGGAGCCAGCTCCATCTACACTGTGTTGCTGGTGTCCTAGCCGTCAGGGCTGTGAGGCGGGACATTCTGAAGCTATTAGAACAGTGACACTTCTCATCCCCACACGCTCTGCTTCCTGGCCTCCTCTCTGTCTGCCCATCCTCAGGGTCCATGGGGGAACTTCTCCATCAGGATACACTGAATATGTCTCTTCTTGGAGCAGAACCTCTAAATCCAGTTCAAAGAAGTAGTCTGGCTGGCTCCTTTGCCTTCTGCTGTGCCTGCGTCTACTATGAAGAGAGATGGGTAAACAGGCAGGGGATTCTGAAGGGATTGACACAGAGATCAATGGTTAATTATGAGAAATAAAATGAGCATTAGAGGAACGTGTGACCCAAGCGCTCGCCAGGACTTGGGTTTTCTCCAGGAGAAAACAAGGAGAGGGCGCCTGGAACAGAAGGGCAGGGGACAGGAGGCATGAGGGCTGGGAAGAGCTGCACCCAGGTTAGAAGAGACCATTCCTGGCAACCAAGCTCCCCCCCACATTCTTGTGAGACCATAGTGAAAGAGCCGGGTGCAGGGGGAACAACTAATAATTAAAGCCGGCACCGTAAGCGGGTTGGTAGCTGGCTTGGATTGCAAGGAAGGTCTGGGAAGGAAGCACATGGGGAAGGAATGCACATGGGGAAGGCCCTGCCAGGATGAATGACAGATGAGGGAAGGCTTGAAGTAAAGCGGAAAAAGCAAGTCCTTGTTAGAATGTGCCTGTACAAAAAGAAAGCGAAAGGAAGAGAAAGAGGAGGAAGAGAGAAAGGAGGGAGGTAGGCAAGAAAGAGGTCTTCCTGGGGGGGGGGGGGGGGCTGGTTGTTCTCTCATGGCCTTTGGTTCCCATCGATTAGGTGTTAAATTATGCATGGCCGTCTCCACTGGCATTCGGACCGGCAGTGAGAAATGATGGATGTTCTGGTGACCCGTGTAATTTGTTTGGGTTCAGAACAATTGTCGCAGCCTGTTGCTTAAATTGCTTTCACCATCTCTACCATCGTTTAGAGGGTTGAGCCTGGCTAGTGGATGGGGTGACCACCGAGATTTCAGCACACAGCTCCGGGGTAGCCTGTCACTGGGAGCCTTAGTCTAGAGAGCAGTAGTGAATTCAGTGACACCCTGCCGAAGAGACAAAGCAGGCACACGTGGGGTCCTCAGGAGATGGAGGGAAGAGGAGAGGCAGATTTACTGAGAGAAAGGAAAAAACCAGCAAGGCTTGAACTGAGCCCACCAGCTCCACTGGCCCTTCTGGGGCGTTAGCGTGAAGAGTTGTTTTCTAGAAGTCCTTTGACCTTGAAGAATCACTGTGCTAAACAGTAAAGAATCTTTGTAGAAAACAGTAATTGCTTTCCGTGATTTGTAGAATTATTTTTCTGAGGGAACATTGCAGCTATCATGTGACTTTGGTCACAAGACACCTCAGGCACGCCTGAGGCTCGTGGATTATTGTGTATTGCAAATGATACACAGTAAAGGAGTAAAGCCACGAGGGTGTGTGGTGCTTCCCTTTAGAGAGACGCGTAGTTTAGATCAGGGACCTTGGTATGAGGAAATACTGTTTACCCAAGAAACAACTGTGTAATAATCAATAACTCCGCGTTTGGATGGCGGCTCAGGGTTCAGTCCATCAGAGACTATTCTTCCTGCTGCCGTACACAGGCCTTAGAACGTCATCTTGGAGTAACCTCTTTCTTCAGCCGACCCAAGCAACCCAGAACACCCAGAACACCCCACAGGCTGGGCCAGCCCATAGCAGCTGCTTCTGTTCCCACAAGCCCCTGTGAGTGACCAGAGCAGTGGCGCAGGGAGCAGGTGAAGGAACATGGCCGCTAGACAACCACCGTGGGCTCTGAGCACCAGCAATCAGGCCTCCAAAATTGGAGGGCAGGAAGAACCTGTGACCACTCATGAAAGTATTTAAGAGATAATTTATTGTCATTTATATTTATCTCCTTTTTTTTTTTTTTTTTGTTTTGTTTTTCAAGACAGGGTTTCTCTGTAGCTTTAGGAGCTCATCCTGGAACTAGTTCTTGTAGACCAGACTGGCCTCAGACTCACAGAGATCCACCTGCCTCTGCCTCCCAGGTGCTGGGATTAAAGGCCTGTGCTGCCATGTCCAGCTATCTTCTGTTTTCTAAACATAAATTTAATAGCATGTTTAATAGCATTTAATAGGCATGTTTCTCACTGCCTAGAGTTACACGGATTTTTGTCTAGCCCTAGAAGTCTGAAGGAGAGAAAATCAGGGGCTCTGTCCAAAGGCAGACTGGGGTCCCTTCCAACACAGACAGAAGTTGAGGTGTAGAGTCAAAATTAGGGGAGAGGAAGAGGAGAGAGGGCATGGGAGGCTCAGAAGAACAGATATTCATTCCCAAGTGAACAAGTGGGAGACAGTCTGAAGAAATCCTTGAAACTCCAGACGGGTCTCTGCACTTGTGGGGCTTACGTAAGAGGCAAGAAAAGGTAAAAGGGCTATTGTTCCCTAAAGGAAGCCAAGAGTGAGGCGGTGGCCACTGTGGCTGGGCCTCAACTTAGTGAATTAGTTCTCTGGCGAGTGTTTGGGGAGCTAGTCAGGAAGAGTTATTGCAGCCGGAGCACAAGAAGATTTGGAATGCCATAGGAACTGTCTGATCTGGCGCCAAACAATGTTTGTGCTGTTGTTAACATCATTTCACCTGTGTCTGAGGCTGGGGGGCCTGAGGACCCTCCGGTCACAGGGAGGAAGAGCAGCACACAGCCACAGCGGACAGCGTTGGGTCCAGACTAATTAGAACGTGCCACAGGAACTCCAGGTGAGTCACTGAATATAATCAGAAGTGATAAACTGCGACCGGGCAGAGAGCCCAAGACAGCCTTTCTTGTCCATTTCTAACCCCGCGTTGATTAGTTCAGTAACTAACAGCATCCTGGACTTTTTTTTTTCTACCTGTGATGGCTGTGAACGTAATGGGCTCCATTTCTCTTCGGAGGCCTCTTGCCTCTGCCCGTCTCTATTGCTGCCTGTGGTGCATCCATCACCCCCAGCTTTCAAATGCTGCTTCCTGCTCCATCTCTTTCCTCCCGCTTGAGATGCAGGCAAAGCACAGACATCGCCTGTCTCCTCTCTGTCGTAAAAGCACTGCTAACACAAAGCAGTTGTACATAACAGACTTTTCCAAAGATGTTGTGGCTAATGAGAACAGACAGAGCTATTATTGCCTAGAGCAGGAAATGATTCCAAATTTAACATCAGATGGTATTGTTCCCAGAAATGCATTGGCTATTCCTTCTGCAGAGAATCTCTGCCGGCTTGGGTCCCTCCTTGGCATCCCCAGGGTACTGTGAAGCCAAAGTTGTCTAAAGAGAGATCAAGAAATATCCCATCTGTCTATATGGATGAAGCTACTATTTATTAAGAGCCAAGGCCTGTACTAACCGCTTACAGTATCTCACTTAACCCTCTCTGTGCAGCTCCCTGTGGGAGACATTCTTTGTCTGCAGCTGAGGAAACTGAGTCTCAGAAACACGGAGTCGGGATCTGAACCCTGCTCCTTCTCCTCCAAGCCCTTACTTCTAATTGCTATGGTGCTGTCCCGCACTCCTTAGATCATCAGAATTCCGATCCATTACTAACCCCTTAACTCAGCAAAGTTTTCTGTAGAGTCAGGCAAAAATTCCCCTACCATTTTCTCCCAGGCAATTGAATCCTTTGCTCTGGCAAATCCCCCCTCCCTCCCACCCCCTGAGAGAACTTTCAGGTCTGCTCAGATCTTCCCAGAGGCGGCTCACTGACTCCTCTAGATAACATTTCGACTGTCTCTGTCCCTGCTCTCTTTTCTCCTGCTCTCTCAGCCTCCTTTTAGACCAGGAACCAAAATCTGTTGTTCTACTCCCTTTTTGAAGCCAGTGAACCCACAAGGCAACAACAGGCCACTTGACCCCACACTGAATCTCTCAAGTATTTCTCTCCACGCGAGGGGGGGGGGCAAGCTGAGGCTTATCTTCTTCCTCTTATCTTCTTGACCTTCTCAAAGCTGGGTTTGGCATTCCATTAAGTCAGGACAGTCTGCCTTCATGAGTCCTCATAATTCTAAATTATGTCTTTGCCATTGGCTGGGATGACAGCCCCAGATAAGAGGGAGCGGAGCAGGCGTTCAAATCGAGTGCTGCGTCCTCTTGCACGACCTTGACTTTAAGAGATGCCCAGTCTGTATAAACCTGGGGGAAGAACCTAAGGAACTCACAGTCCTATCTCCAAGCACCAAGAGACATGAGTCACAAACTAGTGATCACATTTTGGGGGGTGAGGGTACCCATTTGCTATGAGGCACGCTGTCAGGCCTTTTTTCTTTCTTTCTTTTAGTTTTTAAAGAAAGAAAGAGAAAGCCATGCTGGTAGTGATGGAACTCAGCACTAGGCTATGGAAGATATTTGTCCAGAGTAGACAGGGAAAGCCAAGTTGTAAGTGTTGGGCAAACGATAAGAGGTCCAGGCAGTCCGAGAAGGAGCGCCATGGACCTGGGAGAAGACTGGGCCTGGATGGTGATGGCCTGCTGCCCGTTCCCCTAGAACAGTGAGGGGAGGGTGAGCAGGCTTCAAGTAGAGTCCAGCAGAAACAAAGGTGGGGGTGGGGGGAATGTGAGCGATGTGTTCAAGGGACCATGAGTCACCCACTTGGCTTTCTGTTCTCTCAAAACAGCTGCCACATAATAGCAGGCATATATATAACAGGTTATCATTTCTTCTTTTAAAGACCTTGAAAATAAAACAAGAGCTCCAAATTCTCGATTTGGAAAATTCTCCTGTGATGTCAGCACCCAGAGGCTTTGGAGGTGATACTTCCTGAGCTAAGGGGAGCCTGAACCCCCACGACAGAATTCTCACCCTTGCTTGTTGGAGATTCCAACAAGCATTTATTTGATGCAGCGGTTTGGGATTCTGTTTTAGGAAAACCTAAAAGTAACCTGGACAAAATTTGCTTTAATTAGTGAGCATTGGGGATGATTTCGACATTCTCCTAGCTGATCACAAACTTTTTCCACTGTCTTAGATGCTTTAAAGCTATGTGGAGCCAGGAAATGTCTGTCTACACAAACTAACCCTGATCACATTACTACACAAATGTCCTGGTGGCTTCACCCCAGCGTTGCTATTGCATTTGTGTTTTCGGATGTACTTCCTGAGGATTAGAGCGCTGTTTCTGATCTGTCTCTTCAAACCTCCAGGTATGTGCTCATAGAGGCTGGGCTGCGAAATCTTCTCTCCAGCCGGAACGGAAGCAGCTTCACCTCCAAGTAAGGAGAAGTTGGAACAATATAGGGAGACTCTGGTCTTTTCTATTCAAGATGCGCTGCTTTCCAGGGCTATTTCTTGAGGAATGCTCTCTGCTTCTAACTCAAACTAGGAAGAATCACTCTTCTTTACTTACTATCACTGTTTCAAAAGTCTTTTCAACCATCTCTCCTTCTTAATGGTTGTTCTATATCTCCAGGGAATTCAGAAAGGCAATTGTTTCTGATATCATGGTTTTAGCAAAAAGAAAGACAAAGGAAGGAAGGAAGGAAGGAAGGAAGGAAGGAAGGAAGGAAGGAAGGAAGGAAGGAAGAAGGAAAAAGGAAAGAGAGAAAACAGAACTTGAGCTTGTCAGGGAACCGAAGGGACAGTTACTTGAGACATTGTGTTCTCTGAGTCATGGGCACCTGCTAAGGAAAAAACCAGCTAAGCCTCTCTAGAGTACATTAAAATAGCTTTTCCCAGCTCAAAATCACATTTCAAAGACATTCCAAAAGGTGTCTGGGTACAAAACGAAGGCGAGTAAACCGAAGAGTGTCAAGGGTAATGCACTGTTGTCCACAGCAGAGCACAGCGGGAAGTGTGACACACTCAGAAACCACAGCGAACAAATGTAACTGCTGGGAGCCAGGTGACCTTGAGCAGAGCACCTGAGGTCCCTCCACATTTTCATTTAGAAAACGAGTGGGAAACGCCCACTGTGCATCGCACGTGGTGGCCAAGTGAAAAGACGTCTAAAGTGCTTTGTAAACCTCCGGGCTTTGTCTGTAACACTTCAAGAAATCACAGGGGTGGCTGGGGGTCAGGAGATAGTGTAAAGCTTCTTTCGTAAGTGGGTGTGTGTGGCACGTGTGTGCACACACAGGTCAAAAACTCCAATGTAGGTTTTCACCTTTAAAAATTACTCATTCCTTATTAGTATGTGTGTGTGTGTGTGTGTGTGTGTGTGTTATATTGGGGGGAGTGTGGAGGTAAGAGGACAGCTCAGTGAAGTCATTTTTCTCCCTTTATCTTTACACACTTTACAGGGGTTCCAGGAATTGAACTCAGGCTTTCAGACTCTTTCTCCCTTCCCTCTCTCTCATTAGTATTATTTGTTTGTTTATTGTGTGTGTGTGTGTGTGTTTCTGAGACAGGATCCCATTATGCAGTCCTCGATGTCCTAAAACTTACTATGTAGACCAGGTTGGCCTTGAATTTATGATATATATGCACCTGTCTGCCTCCTAAGTGCTGGGATTAAAGGCGTTCGCCACTATGTCCAGCTTCTTCTCCTTCTCCTTCTTCCTCTTCCTCTTCCTCCTCCTCCTCCTCCTCCTCCTCCTCCTCCTCCTCCTCCTCCTCCTCCTCCTCCTTTTCTCCTTTTGGAGCTGAAACTCAGGTTTTTATGGCTGTGAGGCAACCTACCTTTATCAACCCAGGTATCTCACCGGCCTCAGAGCCTTTCAGAAATGGGTATCTGCCATTTTATGTGATTTAAATCGAACAATCAGCAGATCATTCCTTAATTAATACTCTAAGAAAATGCTTGTTCTCCTGTTGCTTTGTCTTCAAAATGAGCCGTTCCTCTTTGTACTTGTCACTTGGGATTCTTTTCGTGGAAGAAAGTACTAGAAAGATCTGGAAGGAAATGTGGTGACATTTTTTCTAAATGTCTTCTATCCAGAGGCAAAGTCTTTCTCTTACACCTCATATGTTGTTGATTTGACAACATAGAGCAGGAACAGAAGAAGGAGGAAATACACTGAGAGCAAATGATCTGGAGAACCTCTGAACCAAAGTTTGGGGTGCCTCAAGAATTATAGTCTGATGGGCAAGGTCCTTCTGGAGTGAGCCAAATACATTAGATGCTCTGGTCCCAGGGAGGTACAGAGGGAAGCTGCCCAACCCACTCCCAGAGCTCTGCTCCCTTTTGAAGCCTGATCAATAAGAACGTCACAGAGCACTCTTCTGAGAAGGCCATGATCTGTTTGTTATTCAGGAAAAAGAGGGAGCCCTTCAAGGCAAGTCGATACCCCAGTCTCCCAGTGATTGGCTTTGCTGCCTGGAGTGTGACGTGCTCAAAATACCCAATAGCCGGCGGTCCCCATCTGGAGCTGGTTTCTAACTCATTTCCATTTGAGGCAAAATCATTACAGTGGTTGATGCTAATAGGCTGGCAATAGGCCCCTAATTTTGCTAAATGAAATATTATTTCTCCCTTGCCTCTCCATATTACCAGCAGTTACCTTTGCATATTTGGGAAAAGAAAAGAAAAAAAAATTTAACCCCAGTCCTGCCAATTCAGTATGACAGCTGCCCCCACCTTGTAGGATCTTAGTCCGTGCCCTCCTTTATTTGCAAGACAAACAGTCCCTGAATTTCCCGTCCAACCAGGCATTTTGAAGAAGTGCAGGTAGCAACGTAGAACAGGTGGGTAATGTCTGGTCAGAGCACCACCCTATCCGTCCGTTTCCCTGCTCACCAACTACTGAACCTGCCTCTGCGTCCCAGTGTCTAAGGCCCTGTTGTTTATCATCCTTGGTCACAGCAGCAACTGCTCTGAGACCGTTCTTTGTTTTCTCTAAAACGAATGGAGAAGGAAGTTGTTATTTGAGTGGGATTTTGACTAGCAAAGAGTGGGGCTATAATGCATGTCTGAACCTTGCTTGAAACAACGGATCACTCTGCTTCTTGAATAAGTGGGGAATAAAGCTTGATAGGAAGGGAGCGTTAACTGACAGTGTTATTAAAGGACCTCCAGACTCCATCTGTGCCTGGTGGCTCCTACCTGTAACTCCAGCACTCAGAAGTATCAAGACAACTCTGGGATATGTCGCAAGCCTCTGTCTGGTGATAAAGCTCAGTGATTGCCAACACCACGGAGAAAAATAGCTTCAGAGAAAATGATGTTTATTGCTTCTTGTGGATGTGGCCTGAGGACCACTGACTGCCTCTTTTGCGTGTCATCCACAGGGAACAATAGGAACATGAGTGATGAAATCAGAGGGCCATGCTGAGCTGGTCCCACCCTTCGCTGGCCTTGGGAAAGCTGGCCCTAATCCTCACTGTACACTGCAGCAAGATAGCTGCTCCCCAACTCGGGAGAGATGACCCCATCCCTTACCACGGGCAAGAGAGAACTGACCCTGAAGACCTGGGCTATGGGAGCTGGCTCTGCCCCTTGCCTGAGGCAAGTGGCCTCAGTGGCCCCTGCTGACCAGCTCAGCTACCACCCAAGCCCACGACCCGGCCTTGTGTTGGTCTACTCTGGCATCTACCACATCTAGGACCTGCTGGAGCTCCTGAAGGATCTGGTCCTATGGAAGGACACCCGCAGCATCTCCATGACTTGGGCTGGCCAAGATATCCAAGAGGAGTTATGGTGAGATTTAGTGGTGATGGTGCGCCGGAAACCAGAGGCCTTGACCCCTACCAATGAACATTTGCTAGTAAGGCTGGTTGGACAAAAGGGTCCACTGACGCTCCCATTGAAGAGGTGTTGAAGAGGCCGGAAAGATGAAGAGAGAGGTTTCTTTGTGTGCTTGTTTTGGTTTGATTTTTTTTGTTTTTAAATTTTGTTGGGGGATGCTTCAGGAGTGAGGGAGGTTATGGGGGGACTGGGAGGTGAGCAGAATTAGGGTGCATGATGTGAGATTCCTAAACAATCAGTAAATAAATTGTGTTGAATATTAAAAAAAGACTTTAAAAAAATCTATGTTTTCAAAGACCTCTGCCCTTCAGCCAGCCAATCAAGATGGCAGTGACGGTTACACAGAAACACATCTCTGAGATTAAAGCTTTTATGACCAAATACAATAAAAATATTGCTCACTGATTTGTTTTATAGATATTTGTTGACTACTGTGGGAGACTAATGAAGTGAAAGGTGTAAGCCCCTTGAGCCCCATGAGTGGCCAGGCCCCTCCCCAGAGGACCTTCAACTGCCAGGTTCTGTCCTAACTGCTGGACCCTGCCCTCACTCTACAGGGTAAAAAGTCCAATCTCTGAACATGAAATCCCATCAATTTCCAGCCTGAGAAGTTCCACCCCCTTCCCGAGAAACTCTATATAAACCCTGTATCCTGATGCAGGATTCCCCTCTGTATGCTGAGAATATGTTTTACTACCATTGGTTAGTAAAGAAACTGCTTTGTCCTATGACAAGGCAGAATATAGCAAGGTGGGAAATCCAAGCAGAGACAGAAGAGGAAAAAAGGCAGAGTCAGGGAGACATTATATAGCTGCCAAAGGAGAAAGATGTCAGAACCTTATCAGTAAGCCACAGCCTCATGGTGATACACAGATGAATAGAAATTGATTAATTTAAGATATAAGAGCTAGCTAGGAATATGCCTGAGTTGTTGGCCAAAGAGGGTTGTAATTATTATAGTTTTTGTGTGATTATTCGGGTCAGGGTGGCCGGGAAACTAAAGTGCAGTCTCCGTTCACAGTATCCTGTTTCGCTCTCTCTGTTTCTCACCCTAGCTGAGGCAGTCACCCTCTTGTTTTTTTTTCCTCCCAATAGAGGTTTGCTGTGGGTGTGACTTGGTGGTATTCCTTGGCTACTGCCTGCCAGGCTTCCTTTCCATCTGAGCTGTAAGGCTTGCAAAAGGTATCTCTGACCTCTAGGAAGTTACAATTTTGTTATTTAAATATGTGCTTTGGGTTGGAGAGTTGTCTCAGAGGATAAAAGTGCTGTCCATCAACTCGTGATCTGAATTCCATCCCCAGACTACACACACACACACACACACACACACACACACACACACATGTAATAAGTAAATAAAGCTGATGGGGTGGGGGTTGATTCAGTAGATAAAGTACAGGCATGAGGACCTGAATTTTGACCCCCAACATCCACATTTCAGATCTCAAGCATGGTGACACACACCTGTAACCCCAGCAATGGACAGGGTCAGAGACCTGGAGATCCTGAAGGCTCCCTCTGGCCACCACACACATAGAGAAATGCACAGATGAGCACATGCACACAGCACAAATAAAGGAAAGGAAGGACTGTAAGTGACCCAGAAGCATATTTAAAATTCACTAGAAATTCAGGAAATGAAACATGGCGACTGAGAGCTCCTGCTCACCTGTGGGACTCACGAATTTTGTTCTATCATTCAGGAAAGCAGGCATTTTTAGTGTGACTAGAGGTGGGCAAAGTGGTGGGACTTCTCAGAAAGGACATCTGGGAGAGGAAGGAAACTCCTCAGAATGTTCATGACTTTCTCTACTGGAATTCTCATAATTAAGAAATAAACATTATACTTTATAATAGGCAAAAGCTGGAAACTATCCAAACATTCGGTGATACGGCATTGACTGAGTTATTGAATATTCATTAGTAAAATGTGTGCAGAAATTAAACGCCATGTTTTCAAAAAACAAGTTTCACAGTGTTCACACCATATTGTTGAATGAAAAGCAGATGACTATACAACTGTGCATAGCATGAGCTCAAAAGTTACACATATAGCCATGCATTTCAGGATTGTTCCATATAGAGTTATCAACAGTGGCTATTTCTGTGTTCTTCTAAGATCGCCAAATTTCATACTGTGTTGTGCATGTTATATATATATTACAGATGTGGAATATGTGTGTGTGTTTGAATATAAAATATCCAAATTTAGCTGGGCAGTGGTGGTGCACACCTTTAATACCAGCACTCGGGAGGCAGGCAGATCTCTCTGAATTCAAGGCCAGGCTGCTCTACAGAGCGAGTTCCAGGACTGGCTCCATAGCTACTAAAAAATCAGAAACCAAACCAAAACAAAGTGAAACAAAATATCCAAAGTTATGCTATTAATCTGTGTATCACCTTTGTGGTTGTTAATGAAAGGAGTAAATTCTTTTCGCTTTTGGTTTGTTGAGATAGGGTCTAGTAAGTCAGGTTTACCTCACATTTGCTACATAGCTGAGGATGACTTTGCACTCCCGATCATCCTATGTACATCTCCTAAGTGTTGGGATCACAGGTACATACCACCATATGAAGTCCAATAATTCTGTTCTTTAGAAAGCAATGAGGAGGTAGTTAAGAGGGTTAGTAGGAAGGGGGGCTTGCTGCCGAGCCTGACAACTGAGTTAGTACCATCTTGTGCAAGTTGTCCTTGACCTTCTTACATATGTCTTACGGCATGTGTGTAGATACATAGGAAGATAAAAATAATTTAAAAAAGAGAGAGAAAGACCGAAGATTCTGTGAAGGCCCTTCCAGTGTAAGACGTTGAACACGTAATGATGTCTTTTTGCTATCTGGGTTTTATTTGTATTTAGTTTTGATCTGCTGGAGTTTAAACTGAGGGTCTCTTGTATGCTAGGAAAGGGCTGAACCACCAAGCCACATCCCTAACCCCAAGTGATGTGTCGACACACCTGAATCCTGCTCAGCTTGACCAGACAGTGCAGCACCATTGTAACCGCAAGACAAAGCTGAGATTTCTCCATCTTGGATTCTTGCTGAGGCCATTTTAGGTTTAGCAAGAATCTGATCTTCTTGATGGGCCAGCCCTGTGGAAAATTACCCAACTCTGCTCTAGGAACCTGAGGTCACGATGCCCTAGCTAACTTAGCTTCAGTTAAACTACTTGCTTGTATAAAACCTCCCCTGCAGCTGCTGAGTGAGATTCAAGGATGTGGATTTTGCCTTTGAAAACCTCTTGCTCTAAACACTACCTGTTACAGTTGGGTCCTGAATACCAGAGTGTAGCTCCAGTCAGCTGGAATAAAGCTTTGAATGGCTGTGAACTGTGTCTGAGTGGCCATCTCTGTGACACCATGTCTCAAAGACCAAAAATGAAAACAATAAACTGCCATTTATTTTTTCTATTGCAGATAGTTATGAAGAAAATGATCGTAAGAAGACAGAGAATGGACACACAGCTAGTCAGTAATGGGGCTGGCATTTAGTTGAACCCCAACAGTCTGACTCCAAAGCCTACATCCCTCATGCTTGCACACAAACATACTTTCTCCTTTAACAGGGGAACCTGGAAACATATCAACTTCATGAACTCAATTAAACCACGTTTGGTGGGCTGGTCTTGATAAATGAAAGAGGGTGGAATTTTCTATGAGTTACCTTGAATTTGCTCTCAAGGCTCCTTGAAAGACATCAGTCTCTGACTGCCCAAGTCCATTAAGTGGGCAACAGAGTTGGGGCTCAAGCAGAAGAGACTGCCCCTGGGTTTTCACGCCTTTGGCAGCCCCTGAATGCCCAAGTTCACGTCTTAGGAGGGAAGAGATGTGTGACCCAGTCTGGCCCTCTGGCATCCTCATTATCCAATCAGTAACCGCTTTTGTTTCTCAGCTGTGTAGCTGTCCTGAAACCCGCATGTACCTTGCTGTATTCCTCAGTGTTCAAATGCACTCGACGTTTCCAACTCTGGACTCTAATTTTCCTCCTGACAGACATGTCTCTTTACTCTAACGAATCCAGACCACATCTCAGCATCCTGGAAATTGTTTGCATTGTCTGGTGAGGCATGAGAAATTGTGCTTGAAGATAAGGGTCACTGTAAGAAGAATTTAAATGCTTAAATTAGAAGACAAGAATCATACGTGTTTCCGAAGGAGGCAGTGCTAATGGCTTTCCGAGCGCACAAATGATAGCTTGTGCGAAGCTTTTAGAGTGCCTTCCTGCTCGCTCTGAAGGACCCGCGCTTGTTTTCTTTGAGGATTTTAATGGAATCGCAGCATTTCATTGTGCTCACCAGAGCAGCGAACCGAATATGAAGTGGCAGGCCTGAGAAGGAAGGTCAGAGTTGGGGCCCGATTTGCATGAAATGCGTTATTATTTTCTGCTTTTCCCTCTATGGTATTGAAATGCCCTTATAAGAGCTGACTGTGACCTCTTCTTAGATCGATCCTTCCTTCCTTCCTTCCTTCCTTCCTTCCTTCCTTCCTTCCTTCCTTCCTTCCTTCCTTCCTCCCTCCCTCCCTCCCTCCCTTCTTCCTTCCTTCCCCTTCCCCCACTTCTTCCTCTGTAGTTCCTGCTACCTAGTGGCCCCCTCTTACCACCTTCCAGGTGTCGTGCCCAGACTACCACTTGGGGGCAGTCTGATGCCTCCTTCCCTCCTCATCGCCATTTTCTCTGCCTTCTCCACACAGGAGTCTGAAGTTGTTGACCTGGTTTCCAGTGTCTTTTGTAACAGAATACTCATTACTAATCTCAGCAGTTTCCTAAAAAGAAAACGAAAGGTCTCATTCTTCAGGTACTCAATAATACATTCTGCTGGATTCTCAAGGTTCCGAGGCAGGTAGGCAGTTAAGGCAGCCACGAAGACCATGGTTTTTAAAACACCTTGGCTTGGGAAGAAAACCTCCATGTTTAAACCTCAAATGGTTCTGACACAGCAGGTTCTCTGATTCTCTGACCAGTGCTCTCTTCTGTAATCATCCTGATATAAGATCCAATATTTTTCCTGAAGGATGATCACACTTTAATGAAGATATTGGGATGACAAATAGCAGTAAAAATAACTTAATAGAAAAAGGAAATCACATAATCACATTTCTTTTCGTTTTCGACTCATAAAATGGCTTCAATGTTAAGGAAGGAAAAAAAATCATACTCCTCTTTCAAAGTTTAATATAAATTCATTTAAACACAGGAAGA